GAATTCACTTTCCAAAAGAAAACTACTTTCCAGCAACCAAACAGGGCCTTAATCACATATTCAAGATTCTTCCAATTTCTGATCAAATGGTACTGAAAATAGGAGTATAGACTTCAATTACTAGAATAATGATGAGTGTCTAAACAGTTTTCCCATTCTAAACGTTTAGTTTCAATCTAATAATTGATAAGTTCCAGTCTCTCACTTTGAAAGAACATCAAGCACAACTTAAATTGAGTAAGTGCTCTTTATTTCTTCTTTTGTTTAAATGTTTCTTGAATAAATTATGTTTGAAATAATGTCAAGACCCGGACAGGCATTACTTTCTGCAATGGCATGCAACTATTCTCATTTTGAATGCATTAAGTAATTGGGATAACATAATTTATGAAGAACTATGTTTCCCCAATTCCACAACATATTTTTTAAAGAACAAATCTGGGCTTGGCCACTACAGGCAAATGTTGTCAGATTAGATAGTTTCCTTGCATCCCTATGGTATCATGCTTTGGGTGGTTTTAGGGTGTTTCTTAAGGGTTCTATGGGAACATGGGTCTTCACTATTCAGATTTCTGTTTCATTGATGTCTTTCCTAGGAGGTTGCATGTGCATTGCTGCATACTTTCTTTGACTTATAAAACATGTCTTTCAGAATTTTCATGACAGCATCTTCTTATGCGATTTCCTAAGTCTCATCATCATAATTATTATTATTCAATAAGTTAATAATACCCTAAAAGGATATTGAGTTTTCATGCAAATCCAAGCATTGGTCTGGCAATATGTGTGGATCAACACTTGAGAATACCAAATACATTCGTTAAAAGTAAGTTATCTTTTCCATAGAACCGTCATTATAAGACATAGCCCTATGATCAAATTAGAAAGCTTCCCAAGTACTTGACATACAAAATTGAAATCAAATACAAGAGTTCACAACCTTGTATACCAGTAAATGTGAGTCAAGAGAAGTAAGAAACAACAGAGAAAGAGAAAGAGAGCTTAATGAGTTAAAGAACCAAAGATACTAACACAACATCAAAAACTGCATGACATAGTTTTCCTTGGCAGACAACATCACCTTGTTCTGCAGCATCAGTGGATGTTTGGGGTGATTTCACTGACAACTGAAATTAGAATAGCTTAAGATTAGTGTCAAGCCAAAAAAAGGAAGGAAGAAACCTGCCCAAGCATCACAGGAATTGAAAGCTAAAACACATGATAGAGATTTTCCATACATCAATTTCTGTCAATGATGAACCCAACTTGTCAGCTAGTGCGGCAAGATGCTCCTTTGCATCCTGAAGATATGTAGTTTAGAAACAAGTGAGAATCTCAAACTGGACACTTACCATACAAACAAATGGGAACGTTTCTTATTAAAAGTAAAAGAAGAACGTATGATAAATATAGCAAGCCCACAACTCAATTGCACAATAAGATTAGAAAATAGAAGTTGATGCAAAACAAAGTTGCTGCATGCCTGAACATCATGATTCTACCAATGTCTATCACATGCCTGAACATAATATTTAAATATGAAAACCTTTTCACTCAATATCACCTCCCAGAGTACCAAACCATGACAAATGACCATTACCAAGCCAATGAAGTTTAGTTTATTCTCCATCTTAGAATTAATAAAAATGTATTAGTTCTTCATTTCACTGGCCTAAGCCTCATATGTTTTTTTATCATTCCCTGCCTCAAATAAATACTTATGCCTTCACTCAATATCAGTTTTAATAGGAAGCCAACTATCACTTGCATGTGCATTAATTTATGTATCAACACGTGCATATTATTGAAACCTTTTACTTCAGTTAATATAAGAAATAAAAGATTACACTTAAGAGAGACAAATAAGCTCACCTCATCAAGGTAATCGGCATCAAGATCACCAGAATTATCAACATTCCCAAACATAAAACCCAAAAAATGGTTACCCCCGACTTCATCATATTCCTCGTCATCATCTGTCCAAAAGTCATCCAGACATTAGAAAGGATGATCACAAGGGGAGTTAAAAAAACACACGAAAATGAAGAGGAATTAATTTTGAATGTGTCGAAGACACATATCCTTTTTTTAAACAAAACCAGTTCGATAATCTCAGTTTGTATTTCGCAAGGTTGTCTAACTATAGGAACAAAACCAACTTAAACTACAGCTTTTAAGAACAGAGATTAAAGGTTGCAATTAAACAAACTGTCCATACACTGAGACCATCATGATTCTACCTATATCTATCACATGTCTGAGAACAAAACAACAGGGCTATTCATCATCCTTGACAATGATGACACAACTATAGAAAACCTTCAAACTCCGCAATTATACACAATTCTACCAATAATTACTATACCAATAAGCATAAAACAATCAAATTACAAAATGTTATGACGTTAAATAACCAACTTACCATCACTGGAAGCACTTCCCGACTCATAGCCACCTCCACCCATGTTTTAAAGGCAGTTCTGCCAAGAATCATGAAATGAAAATTTCAATTTTTAGCTATTAAACTAAAAAAAATGAATAACCAATTAAATTTCAGTTATTTAATATAAAGTTTTTATTTCATTTGAAAAATCCACGTGGAAAACAGATGGCAAAAAATTAAAAAAAAAGAGCTAAAATAATGCCAAAGAAATTGAAAAAAGAACTTGTAAAAGCAAAGATAAAACCAAAACCTAACAAAAACCAATAAAACACTAAAAAAACAAAAATAATCATGAAAAAAAAAAGAACAGCATCATCAAAAAAAAAAGTTCGAAAATGGGAACCAGAATTAGCTACAAAACACAAAAATTAAGAGAAAATCATAAAAATCACACCAAAAATACTTAAAATTTAACCTAAAATCAAACCCTAACACAAACCTACAAAATACGGCGGGAAGCAAGAATGACCAAAATTCGAAAAAGAAACCACAAAATATCTCGAAAAAAGAACAAATTGAAGATAAATTTACAAAATTAGGCCAAAAATACTAATATAGAAAATTAAATTCGTTGGAATAATTATTACTAACCAACCGTACTTGGATTCTTGCATGAAGAAAATACAATTATATCTTAAAACATAAGATTACAGTTAAATTTAAAAGGAAAACAAAGAGAAAAAATCAGCGATTTGAATTTGGAAGGAAGGAATGAAGAAATGATATGTGAAAGGAGCTGAAATAAGAAACTGGAGTGGTTGGATTGAGATGTCACCTGGTAATTTAAGGGGATTGATTCATATCCTGGTGGTGAACAACGATCATCTCCGACCGGGATAGCGACGACGGAGTGGATTTTGCATTCAACGACGAACTGAGAAGTTTTCTGCTTTTGCGTTTCTCTCTTTATTAGAAGACAGCAATAGAGTGTTGGGGACAAGAGTCGGGTCGCGTTTCTGAGATGGGTGGAATTGGGCCTTAACTTTTTGCATTCGTGGAATACAACCCACGCCCATAGACAGATAATTTTTTTTTTTGTCATGGTTATGAAACCCGGTCTGCCAAGACCGAGGTAAGCAATTAAGTAAAAATCAATTTAATCTAAAATAATATTATTTTATTTTTTATAAAAATATTAATTTAAATTTTTTAAATAAAAAATAAAAATCAAACTAAATTTTAACCAAATTAATTAGATATGAATTGAATTTTTAAGGTGATTGAATTAATTTTTTTAAAAAACTTGATATAGATTAAAAGCCAAGTTAAATAAGTTTTTGGTTGATTATTTAGAATTTATTACCGGTTGAATTTTTTTAAATTCACTTATTATTTATTTGTTTTATTTTGGGGGAATATCTTGTTGGCATGTCACCAAATTGATTGTTGAAAATATTATTTGTAAAATTTATTGAGATGGATATTTTGAAATAAAATAAATTACTTTTATAATTATATTTAATAGATCTAATTTGAGAACTGAATAAAAAAAAAACTTAGATTACGAGGTCAATTTATTGGTCACCAGGTCAATTATTTAGCTTAGAAAGAAGAATGGATGGCTTGGGTTTGGAATCTAGGTTCTTAATTTTTTGGCTCGGCTCGGTGGGAGGTTAGGGTTCTTATGGTGATCCATTTTTTTTATTTTTTAAAGGATGAGTTATATATATATATATATATATATATAGAGAGAGAGAGAGAGAGAGAGAGAGAGAGGAGAATCATACCTGATTTTAGCTTATAAAATCAACCTCCAACATTCCCATGTATAAGAGAAAATATATTTCTCTAAATGATTTAATTTAGTTTATAGTAAATCTCTCCCTAAGAATCAATTATATTATATTATATTATATTATATTATATTATATTATATTATATGGTTCACATGTATTTAGTAAAATCAAATGTCTTGTCTAGATTTAATAAAACACTTAACAAGGCTTAATATTTATTATTTTGAACAAGGCTTAGATCATGGATAAGCACAGTCAACTCTAAAGTTTTTAATTATTAAACCAGTTGTAATTTTATAATTAAGATTATTATATTATTATTAATTCTAACATTCAAGATAAATTAAAATAAAAAAATAATAGTTAATTATTTTTTAGCTATATAAAATAAACAATAATAAATATTAAATGTATAACAGACCTTTTCGTGATTTATTATATCTTATTTATTATCAATCAAATATAATACAAATATAATCACTCAATCTTGTAATTTGGTATCATGTTTTATCTTGTCTTTTTTATTTCTATTAGCTTTCCTTTTTTATTATAAGACATTAACTAATTACTAATTTTGTGTTTATCCATTCTTTTCTTGTCACATTAAGTAAGAAACTAAAACCCGTTGATTTTAATTGTAGCTGGTACTATTTATAATCTCATATAACATTGTGGATCAATTGTGTATTTTTTAGTAATTCATTATGGTTCTTAAAATTAACTTTGGATGATTTGATATTAATAAAAGACTAATTGTTTTTTTATTTATCAATGAAGATTGAATTAGAAGAAGATGAAACAAAATAAAAAACGTATCAAATATGGGTGGCGTGGTAGAAAATTCAAGTAAAAACATTTATATCTTCAAACTTTAAAAATAATATTAATACAAAAGTTAAAAAATATGAGAAATTTGTTGTTCATCTACATTCATTGTATTGTGAATTACTATATTTTTTCACTTTTTCTTTTTTTATATATATATTTTTGCATTTTTTTAATTTTTTATTACTTTATTCATTTTTTATTATTTTTTAAAAAATTTGTTTTAGTTTATTTTTTTAATATTGATATAATTAAAAATTAAATTTTATAATTTATTTTTTTTCATTGTTTTTTTATCTATTTACTAGAGTAATCCAAGTTATTCTGGTTTACAAGCTTAGTATGATTTTTTTTTAATTAAACTTGATTTTGTTATCATTTATTTTATATAGTTAAAAACAATAATTTTTTTAAAAAATTATTATATATAAAATTAAAACATGTGAAAAAAATATTGTAATTTTATTTGCATATTAATACGGAGGAGGTGACTCTGAGCTAGTGGATGGTGGCATTGCATCTTTTGGTGGTTACATGGAGGTTGGTGGTGGCCATGTCGGTACTGGTTCCACTGGTGCTGGTTTTGGTGGATTGGAAGGTGTCAACACAGGGATGCTAGGAGAAGGTGTTGGTTTTGGTGGATTGGAAGGTGTCATTACAGGAATGCTAGGAGACGGTTTTGGTTTCGGTGGATGTGAAGCTGTGGGCAATGTTTCAGCTAGGGATGACGATGTTGGTGTTGGTGTTGGTGGTGTGAGAGTTAGTTTAGGTGGCAAATGAGGCAATTTAGGTTTAGGCAACGGAGCCAAATCCTAAGCATGGTGAAGAAGATGCCGAGTTGCCAAGAAAACATTAGTGCATGAAAGTGGAAAAAATATGAAGACAGCAATGATCATGAGGTAATGAATAGAAGCCATGACTGTATACAGAACTATTTCTTTTGACCCTTCTTTGTGCATATATAGGGGGACTGGGAGAGCAAGCTTAGGACATGAACTAAATATGTTGAGTAATAATTCTTCACACGTGGTTAGATTTCTTGAGATGGTGCAGGTTCACAATTAATAGTGTCAAATTGTAGCTGTACTGGAAGAACAAGGCTTGTTTATGGCACAAATTAAAACACCTTTAAATTAACTTGTATGTTAAAAGAAGGAATCTGTGCTTACAATGTCTATTTAGTGCATTTGAAAACAAAAATTATTTTAAAAAATAATTTTTACTACGATTCCCAATACTCTTAAAAAGCAGATTGATTACACTAAGGCAATTGAATGCTAGAGCAAGATCCTTCTTCGTTTAAATCCATTTCGGTATCTGATTATGTATAGAGTCCATAAAAGAAGAAGCACAACTGCTCTTGGCTGCTGATCATTGAAGTGTTACAGATGTTGGGGCTACTGCTATCACTGAAACATTAAACATAATTTATCCTTTCTTCTTCATAATTCAGCTCTAACAATCATTTTCCGAAACATTCTGATGTTTTCTTGAAAAGTACTGATCCAGAAATGCCCTGGAAATAATAGATGTTCTTGAGAGTCACTATGTTATAAAAATTTAGCTAGCAATTTAAGCATTCCAGTCAAGTTTGATTAGCAATTGCTTCTTGATGATAGCTTGAAGAATCTGAGATACAACTACTTAAAGCTTCTCATTAAAATGCTAGAAATATTGGGTCACCTACAATACTGAGCACCCTTTAATGCTGTCAGGAGACGAAACTGTGAACAACCTGAATCCCATTAGGCTCTTGAAAACCATGGCCACCCTCCCCTCCAACACAAGAACAATCTATTATGCAACTACTTGAAGAACCGTTAGAAGGATAGTGACCTTCTCTAGCTCACTTAAAAATGGTGGGGTTGCAGCACGGATAAAAGTGCCCTGAAGGGAAAGCTACCAGTACCGTGTTCATTATCACCGATTAGTTTTGCTCTTACTAGACCGGTGACCCACGTTACGTGGCTTGTTAAAATTTCCTCAAGATAAAAAAATAATATTTAAATAATAATAATCAGATAAATTGGGTTAAATTTATGGAAGTGCAACTATGATATAAAACCAAAATAACCTGTAAAAAAAATTATAAAGTTTAAAATCTAATAATTTAATATCAAAAATAAAAAAAATAAAAATAAAAATATAATGTTAAAGAAGTAAAAAAAATAAAAATATAATATTGAAAAAGTAAACTCGAGTCAACTTGGTTTAATTTGATAAACTCACAACATGTAATACGAGATAAGAATAAAAAAAAATTCAAAAGAAACACTTAACAAACAAAATAAAATTTAAAAAAAATTTAAAAAAGCCCTCAGCTAACCCAAGTTAATTTTACCAACCCGTCATCATAATAACTAAACATAAAGAAAATCAAGAAAATGACAAAACTCAAGGGCAAATTATTCCATGTAAAATGATGAAATTAAAAATAAAAACCCATAAAAAAATAGAGAAAAAAAAATCAGACCTCCAAAAAAATCACTTGGTAAAAAAATACCACAGTTAAATAAAAAAAACTTAGTGAAAAAAAGCAAGTTAACTCTGGTTAACTTTATTACCCTCCATGCACCTGGAATAACCCGTCATGCATGCATTTGTTTTCAAATAATATTTAATAAAACATACTCCATGGTCAATAATTCGATGAAAATTATTAAAATAAAAAAATAATTTAAGATATGATGCATGAATAATCTGATAACAAGAAAAACATAATAAATTAAGAAGCTCATGACACAACAATTCAATATTAAATAATAAAAATAAATAAAAAAGACTAAAAAAAAGATCAAACTTAAACGGGGTTCATTATTGAAATTGGTAAATCGAGTTATGAGACTGAGATTATTATATAAAAGGCAAATATGAAAAAACTACAAAGAAAAATTTTAAACCATAATAAAAAAAATTAAGGACTAATAAATGAAGAAAATGATAAAAAAAAAAGGCAATACAAAAAATGATGACCAAAATTCAAAACCAAACAAAATCAAATCAAATTCTCAATGACATAATAAAAATAATAATAAAAACAATAAAAAATTAAATAAAAAAATCTAATTAGATTAAATGATTAGAGACAAAATTAAAAACAAAACAAACTTAAAAAAGTATCAAATCTAACAAAAATAAAAATCAAAGAAATAAGGATCAAACCAAACAAATATAAATTAGAGAACATAATTGAATTTGTCAAAGCTCTGCATGTAAACCGATACATGAGAGAGAGAGAAAAAAGTAGTAAAAAGATCAATTGTTGTTAAATTGCCGCTCAGATGACAACACGCGCCTCCTATAAGATACGTCGGCACCTTTCAGATCAGGTGAGTAGGCGATTAATCTTTTTTAACCATCGTATATGCTTTCACATGCCACCGAAATAAAGCAGGGGGTAACAACATGCCTATGTGTACGTAACACGTGTAGATCAACTTTATTAATGTAGTAATATTATAAGAGCATCTCCAACGGGAGATGCTTTTTAGAAGAGCTAAATTGGTAATATGGCTTTCTGAATAGTGTAGGTATAGCTTTTTTGTTGATGTGCATTCCAATGGCAAGAAGCTATTTAGAAGAGCTAATTGTATTTTAATATATTTGATACACAATTATTTTAACATAGTCTATTAATATTTATAAAAATAAGGAATCAATATCTTTCTAAGAGCATCTCTAATGAAAAATATTACATTGAAGAGCCAAATAAAAAAAATAGCTTTTTAAATAGTATAAATATATATTTTTAAATTATATACATTCCAATGGTAAAAAGCTATATAGAAAAGCCATTTATATTTTAATATATTTCATGTTAAATTAATTTTAATATAATTATATAACTAATTTAAATATTTTTTATATAATATAATTATGATGTTATTAATTACATAATTAATATGAATAATTTATAAAAGTAATATAAAATTAATGAAGTAATATAAAAGTTAAAAAATATAATTTAAAATTTATTTATATCAATATTTTTAATTTTAAGTTTTATATGTTATTGTTAAAAATTTAATTTTTAAAAAGTAAATTCAAATTCAAACTTTGAAAAAATCAGCGCCAACATTGTATTTAAAATAACCAAGAATTTTCTACATATTTAATTAAAAATACATTACATTACAATAAATCAATCAAAGTTAATTAAAAATCAAAACCACTCTTTTGCATAATTTCTAACTTTCTATTTTGAAAATACGCTGCAGAAATTGGATCCAAATTAGAAATATCCATTTTTATAATTTGTTCTTCTTTCTCAATCCTGTCCAATTCTTGTTTCTCTTGACTTTGTTGAATCATCATGGCTTGTTGCTCTAACATAATTTTCCTGTCTTGTTTCTTCTGATCCTCAATTTCAACTAGAGTATCCTTGAATTGTTGTAAGAGATTCGTTATAGTTACATCCCCAACTTTATCTTTTCCTTGTCTACGTTTAAGTCGTTCCTTTGCAGCCTTCTGACCGATTGGTCTATCTTGATAAATCAATGGTTCATTATCTTCTCCTAAACTCACAGCATCAGGGGTAGATGGAGTTGATGAAGCTGAACTTGCATTGACATGACCTTTTTGTTTCTTATTTGACATTTGATGTTGACTTGCACGCTCAAATTGTCATTTGGGTTCTTTTCTTAAAATAACCTAGCAATGTTCTAGTTGAAATCGTTTGCCAACGCAAGAAGTATACATTTGCCGAGCATCATTAATCTGGTAAAAAAATAAATAAATTAAATAATATTAAAATATATGTTAAACAATTTAACATAAAAATGAATATAACCATTACCCTTGATTCTTCAGTCATTCCACTTTGCTGACGATTTTCAATTTGAGTAACAAATCCAACAAATTTACCGACTTCTCTATTTATTTCTTGCCATCTACTTGAGATACTTATTTGTGAACGATTATTCAAGTTTCCTCCATTATCTACAAAGCAAGCATGTACACGAGCCTAGAAATGTTTTGTTTGTTGTTCAACTCCTGTAATTGGATCCTTACTTGTATTTAGCCATGCAGAGACAAGTAAACAATCCTCCTCTGGTGAGAAATTTTTACTTCTTTGTGATTTTTTTGCCGAATGGACATTTAAATTCGAGCATGTTAAGTCATCAATTAATTGATTAGAATCACTTGGTTGAGAGAGAATATCTTCTGACTCACTTATAAGAAAGTTGGTAAAAGAGCTTGGAAAATTTGAATCCATCTACATTAAAAAAAAAACTCAAGTTAAAACTTTACAAGAGAGTATAAAAGAAGCTCGCATTCAATGTCTAATAATTTTGTAGTTTTCATACATGCGAATTAATAATAAGCATTGCCTCCTACTTGTTTTAATATAACAATTTGACCATTTTTTGAAACTAAAATAGAATCGATATACTAGTTTAATTGCATTTTTAAAAAGACAAAATATAATTGATCTCAAATTAAGACATACAATCAAAAATAAATTTTAAATATATAACTCAATCTTTTTATCAATATCAACTACCATTATTAATTCCTCTCAATTTTATCAAAGATAACAACATAAATATAAATTGTCTTCCTTAATCCATATTAAAAACATCAAAGAATAAAGAAATAAAATTCATCACAAATATTAAATTAACAACAAAAGGTCTAAAAAATCAAGAGATATAAAAAAAATAAAAAAATTTTAAACAAGCATACCTTTTAATTTCAGCTAATTAACACAACCGATGTTAATAATTAACCGGAGAATAATTGATTCTTGTTTTTTTTTTAAATTTGAGAGAAGGATGAGG